AAAATAAATGAAATAAAGACAATTGTTAAAATATGGTCACGAATAAATGAAAGTTTACACATAAAGATTATTGAAACTTAAAAAAAAAAACACTACACTATGAAGTACAGTTCTATTCTATAACAAATGAGTCACCATTAATTTAATTGACAGCAACTAGTTTGGTTTCTTTTGGGGAAATGGCGGTGGATGAAGAGTATAAATACTACAGCAGAGTTCTCCAGACTTCCACCAGAGAACAGCTGTGAGGAGACTCCATTTCCTGAGAAGCTTCAGGAAACAGGATTAAAGTTCGAGTCTGGTCCCCTGTCTTCATGCAGGCCACTACCTAACCCACAGGAGTCCGATAGTTTCATACTCTGGAACGACACTGATCAGGTAATTCCCCAAACCCCCTGTTACCAGTGAACCAAAAGAAAAATCAATCCCTCTCAGAGACACCGCAGTCTGACCGGGACTAAAATAGATGAAATGTAATTACGCAGCATACACACTAAGAGTTATTCTACATGAGAAAACATCCCTTGTGAGTTCATGCCACTCAAGGTCTTGAGAATTTGGGGTTTAAGAGCCAATGATGACAAGATGTGTTCCTGAAGCCTGGGGAGGAAGGTCAGAGAAGGAACCGAATCAGTGAGGAGACTCGGAGTGTGTCTTGAATAGATTTCCCAGGGCTGGATTCAGGGTAGCCCTGTGCATGTCAGATTAGGTTTTATGACTACCAAAAAGGCGATCAGGAGCTGAAGAGATATCATTGATCATATTTGCTTTGTCAGTGACCAGAGGAACTAGAAGTCAGTTTCAGCAAGGCTGGGGAAAGATGTAAAAGGAAGGAGAGTGGAGACAACTGAATGCCAGCTTTGTGTCCTGTGAAAAAACAGAGAACAACTATAGTGTGATTCCCTGTATATACACAGTCTTCTGCTTGTCTGTGATAATGTCCCCTACATTGTGCAAGCCAGTTGTTATAAAGCAGTCAATATTAACAGTTATAGTATATAAATGTCCAATTAAAGAAACTAAATTAAAAACAAAATTGCTAAATAATGAAAACTTACCCTTTCTAATTATTTTACTAACCAAAAGGCCAGCAATTCCAACCCACCAGCCACTCCAAGAGACGCAAATGCGGCAATCTGCTTCCATAAAGATTTTGTTGTTGTTGTTGTTGTTGTTGTTGTTAAGTGTCGCTGAGTTGGTTCTAACTCATAGCAACCCTGTATAGGGTCTGAGACTTTTAAAATCTTTGCCGGAGCAGAAAGCCTCATCTTTCTCCTGAGGAACAAACCGCCAACCTTGTGGTTCACAGTCCAGTGCTTATCCTATTGTTTAGCCATTGTTATGTGTCTATAGAGTTTCCGAGGCTATAAATCTTCACAGGAGCAGAAAGCCTCATCTTTCTCCAGACGAACAGCGAGTAGTTTCTAACTGCTGACCTTGAGGTTAGCAGCCCAACTCATAACCACTATTCAGTGATTCATAAGCCACAATGTGTTCGTATTTGGTTTTCACTATTATCTAAACTCTATTATCTGCTTCTCATTTATCAACTATATTATTATCTGACATTTCACATTTAAAACGATAGAAAATAAATCTCTCTACATTGCATATTACCAATGTACATCTGACAATAATGAATGCTGAGGTGAGAGGTAAGAGCAATACTGACTAAGATGGTTAAGGTTAGGTGTCAACTTGGCTGGACCATGATTCTCAGTGGTTTGGAAGCCATGTGATGATGTGGTCACCCACCATGTTTGCATAATGCCCAATGTTTACATAATGACCTGGTCTTTAGAACCTAACCATCTCAAAAAGTGAGTGGTGGGTATATGAACTGTATTGTGGGAACACTGTACAATAATGTGCTGCTGTGCATTTCTTCCAGAATCACACCTATGGTGGCCCATTGGTAGCCTGAAATTTGCCACGGTGAGGGTATTTACATCACGGAAATCAGCAGAGGCTACATTTCAGGGCTTACCACTTACCACTCCCCACTTCCCTTAGAAAACCAAGAACTCTCCTTCAACTTTGGGTTTCTTGCTGGAGAGATGAACAAAAAAGACCAAAGCATTCCTGAAGCAAAACACTGGAGCTGAAATGTCCTTCCTTTAGCACCTCAGAGTGACAAGTACCATAACCATGACTGTGAGCCCAGCATTGGGTTCAGGAACATCCCTGTTTTCCCTCTTGAGTCTTTCAAACAGGAAGTTGTCTCCAGAGTCTCTAAAATCTCTCTTGCTGCTTTTTAATGAGCTTTTCTTGCCAAAGCCTCATGTCCTCACCCCTCAAATGAAGACTAAGTCTGAACATGATTCCCTGGCTTCTGGAATGTGGAAAATGATATCTCTCAACACAACCTGTACACAAGCTTAGCTCCTCATTACCTGACTGAAAGCTCCTCAGAACAGTGCTCTCTCTAAGTCATCCTATTCAGTCTCCCATATAAGAGCAAAAGTGTGCCAGGCTAGGTGCCCTGCTGATGATCTAACTATCTGTGAACAAGTCAATGTTTTTAAACACACACACACACATATACAATTCCTGGTGATTCCAACTCATGAGAACCTTGTTGATGTTGTTGTTATTGTTAAGTGCCATTGAGTCAGTTGGAACCACCAACCTCGTGGTTCAAACCAACCTTGAGGTCAAGTGCTTATATTATGGTACCATACCAGGACTCCCATGACAACCTTGTTGTTGTTTTTGTTGTTAAGTGCTGTCGAGTCAGATTCAACCCACAGCGACCCTGTATAGGGCTTCCAAAGAGTGGCTGATGGGTTTGAACCGTTAACCTTGTGGTTCAAGTGGACTTTGCAGTCCAGTGCATTAATCTGCAGCTGGTATGTAAAAGTAGAACTGTGCTCCACAGGGTTTTCAAAGCTATGATCATTCAGATTGCCAGATCTTGCTCCCAAGGCACCTCTAGGTGGATTCTAATCTTTCAGTTAGTTTTTTTGTTTTTGTTTTTAAATGTTTTATTGTGAATTACGTGATAGTTTATATGGGAGAACATTAGCTTTACATTCATCGTATCGTATCATATAGTGTTTCATTGCCATGGTTACAATCCCCTCCATGCATCATCAACCAACCAAAGGGTATACCCTACAAGTCTTTCAGTTAGTTTTGAAGACCTTAACCATTTGTGCTACCCAAGTAAATAATACCTATTGGTGTTCATGAGAGATACAGCCAAAAAATAAAGGAATAGATGTTCCTAGAGTTCTCTGTCTGTCCCCTCATCCAGCCCCAAGGAGACCCCCATCTCCTCATCCCCATGACAATTGTGACTGGCTCCCTCTGTCTCGCTGTCATTTCTCCTTTCTCTTCCCAAAGCTCAATCAGCTTCTCCCAGAAAAAAAAGAGACAGAAGATCCTGGGCTTTCAACAGGCAGATGTCTGGGCAGAGGCAAGTAGAACTGAGAAAACTGGAAGTATTATGCTCTTCAGAAAACTCCATGCACCTGGGTCAGACCCACGACCAGCTGTACTCCTGTTGCTGCAAATCCTGTATGGATCACTTGGTCTACTACAGTTAGCTGACTCGAAGATATGTCACTTGGGGCTCCCTGAGAGTAGAACCCAGACTAATGGATAAAAGCTATATTGGGACAAAAATTAGGTTCAATAAAAGCAATATGTCTCTGGCAGTCAGAAGCAGAATGGACTGCTTGGGGAGGTAGTGAGCTCCCACTGGAGGTACTCAAGAAGAGATTGTTTGGAAGATTCTTTGACAGCAATGTTGTAGAAAGAATTCAAATAGAGAAATAGCCTCATGTCCCTGGAGTCAAACATGCTTGGATTAAATCCTGAATTACTAACTTGGTCACCTTGTGATATAGTGATATCTAAGTGTGGTGCTGTGGGCTAATGCATCAGACTGCAAAGTCATTGCAAGGTCGATGGTTCAAGCTCACCAGATGCTCCTTGGAAACCCTATACAGGGTCACTATGGGTCGGAATTGACTCGACAGCACTTAATAACAATCCCTGTGAGCCTCAGTTTCTTTATTTGTATAAGGGGGATAATGTACAACTACATAGGATTAAAGAAATAAGTTAAATATCTGAAAACACCTGGTATTCAGTAGGTGCCCAACAAATAGCAATCTTCTTTCCATCAAAGGTAGGGTTGGTTTACATGAAGTACAGGTCTTTGTACTTCAGAACACATGTCTACAACCCTTCCAGGCTGCTGAGAAGGAAAGCATGCATCTGGGTGAGATAAATCAGGATTAGGTCAACAAGGAAAGGAGGCTGTTGAGTGTGATCAGGGACTAAACAGAGGTCATCCTGCCAGCCCCCTATTTTTCTATTCTGACCTAGAATGAAAGAGAAAACCAGGATTCTGTTTTTAAAGTCCAGCCTGAGGGGTCTCAGTTTCCCCATCTGTACAGTGAAGGAGGAGGAGTAGACAGTCCCTTCCAACTCAGACATCCTAGGATCTAAGAAGGGAGGAGGTGGTGCAGAGACAAGGCGGCTCAACGGGAAGCAACCTCCCCTATCGCTGAGCGTCGGGACCTTCCAACCCCACCCCATTTCCAACCCTCCTCAGAAGCAGAGCCACTTCAGTTTCAAGTCATACAGCCCTTTATTGTACTAATACTGCAGCCTGGGAGCTCGGATCACACACACTGACAATTCAGTCCAGACCCCATCCCACCTGGTCCCCTGGCCCTCTGCCTTGGCTGGGGACACCGGGCCTCCGGCTTCAGCCGCTCTCGGATACCAACTCTGCTTTCTTCTCCCTCCCTCCCTTCCCCGGAGCCTCTGAGCCCCGGGAGTTGGGGAGGGTTCTTGAAGGTCTTTCTCGGCCCTCCCCGCCCCCTCCCACTTTAGGGGAGGAGGCTCTGTCTCCCTACACTTCCGGAAGGAAATGTCTTTAGCCTCCAGCAGCCAGGGGCGGGCGAGGCCGAGCGTGTCCCCAGCTGCGGACAGAGAGCCCGGTCCCGTCCTCCCCGCCGGGGCGCAGCCCGGAGCGGCGCGCACGCTCACACCACCAGACCGTCCTGGCAAGGCAGCGGCCCCTGGGCGCATTCGGGCTCGGCGCTCTTGACCTTGACGTAGACCGGGGAGGGGCCCGCTTCGCAGGCGGCGGCAGCGACGGTGGTGCGGGGCGCCAGGGCCACTTCCTCTGGGCCACCGCAGGGCGGGGGCGCGTACTTGCGGCGCAGGGAGCGGCTGACGTTCTGCGTCGGATACCCCAGGAGTTGGGTGACGCGGCTGCCGCGCCCGCTGACCTTGCACCCGGGCGCCACGGCGTCCACTCTGTGGAAACAACAGGCGTGCGGATGAGCAGGCTCCTCCGCGGCGCGGCGTGGGCACGGCCTGGGCAGAGCCGGGGGCTCTTGGCAACCTGTCGTCTCCCGCACCTCCCTCCACCTGCCCTTCCGTCACCTCTCTCCCTCGGTCTCCACCGCCTCTCCTCTCTGCCCCTTCCAGAGTCAGCGACTCCGCAGCGGTCCCCGGGACCACCATCCCCATGCCTCCAGACAGGGCTTGTGCACACCTGTCCGGACCGCCCACGAGCGGCAGGCACGCTCCACTCCCTTCCAGATATTTTCACAGAACCACCCAGCAGGGAGCTTCGGAGACCCAGAAGGAGCTACGTTACCATTCCTTCTTTCCTAACTAACCCTGGCCTTGTCTTTCTGTCCTCTCTCTCTCTCTTCACTACCTACCCCTCAATCTTCTCCATGTTTTCCTTCATCCCAAGGCACTGCAGGTATTAATGCTGTTAGTCTTTTTCTATTTTTCTTTCTAGTTTGTTTCTAATATAACTTATTAACACTATTCTTCTTAAATAAACACGTCTAGAGTTCTCACCGGCGCAGTACAGGGAAAACATGAGAAGAAACAAACACAGGCCCTGCCCTCCGGGAGCTTACAGTCTAGACAAGACAGACAGGTGTGTAAATTGGCGGGAAATGGAGGGCAGGGGAGTAAAGGTGAAGACTGGGGAAGGGGGAGACAGAAAAGCCATGCGGCGAGTGGCAGGTCGACATGCTGCGGTCCCAACACTCCGTGGCGATGGCGGGCAGGGTTGGGGTGGGGGTCCCGGCCGGCCGGTGGCAGGCAGGGTGGGGAGGGCAGGGCGCCGGTCCCCCGCCGCACGGCAGCATGCAGCATGCATCAGGTTTTACCTGATCTCATTAGCCAAGTCGTCACCGCCGCCGCCGCAGGGCCCTCCGCCGAGCCCTCCGCCGACCCCGCCGCCGTTGCCGTAACCAAAGGTACCGCGGGGGCTGCCAACCCCAGCGCCCATGAGGCTGCAGCAGACGATTCCCCAGATGCCCATCATCACGCAGGCCAGTACAAGCAGAGAACCCAGCACTGCGCCGACGATCATGCCTATACGCCTCGAGTCTGTGGAGAGAAGTAGAGACTGCTCCGACTTTTCTGCAGGAGACCTATGCCAGAGCAGGGGGGTCGAGGGAAAGAGGCTGAGGGGGTCATGGGATTCTCCATGAGGAAGCTATGGGGAGTACAAGTTAACCGCTTGTTTCTTCAAAGGGCTTCCCACCTGCCCCCATTGGCAAAGCTGATGGTATTAGGAAGCAGAGCCTGCTAAGACTGGGAAATACAGCCCAGGGGGCTCCAATCCAACCCTCCCAGCCAAGGGGCCCTTCTGCGGCTGCACCTACCTGAGACCTTCACCTCCACCACGCACACACTGTAGCCCACATGGTTGGCCACTGTGCACTGATACAGCCCGTTATCCTCTTTGGAGATGTCCTTCAGCACCAGGTCACTGCTGTTTGGATCTGCAACTAAAGGAGTCTCAGTGAAGCTGAGGGGCCTGGTCTCTGAGAGCTCCCACCCCTGCTTAGGTCCCTACAGATGGGTTGTAAAACAAGCCGTCTGGAGGAAGGGAAGGGCTGTGCTCACAGGTCTGCTGCACTCTCCAGGTGAGTCACTTTCTTGCTGAGGTAGAGAGGCAAAAAGGAAGGGCCCCTCTCCAGCAACAGGACAGAGATACCACTAATTCACTCAGGTGACCTTAGGGAAATTCTATCTCCTCTCTGAGTCTTGGTGTCCTTTATTTATACAGTGAGGACAGAGTTAGCCCTTCTGCTAGCTCTTTGCTTGGTAATGAGTAAAACTCAGTTTCTCTATGAGCCAGGAACTTTACACGCCTCATCCCAATTAATCTTCACAGGTTCCTGGAAGGCAAGTATTATTTCCTTTTCATCTATGAAGAAATCAAGGCACAGTGAAGTTGAGCAATTTGCCTGAGGTTTGCCGTCAGACAGTGGCTCAGCCAGGACTCAAGCCAGGACTCAAGCCTAGCTCTGTCTATTTCAGACTGTTTTCTCTGCAAATTAACCATACTGCTCTTGAGTGACACCCATATTAATTAGCCTCCTCTTCTTCCATTGTGAACCCTTTAGAGGGTCACTATGAGTCAGAATTGGTTCCCTCAGTAGCAACTGCTGAGACAAAGGGTCTCCCACAGAGTTTCAGGTTTGACTAGATGCCACTGATGACCCAGGAAAGGCCAAAGGCCTGCAGAGTCCCTGATCTTCCACTTACCCTCCCTTCCCTGCCCTTGATAGCCCCTCACCTGGATGCATAGAGCCATGAAAGGACTCCTGGTAGGAAAGCTCAGAATGGAAGCTGTGCTGGGAGTGATAGGACCCAGCTCGGTGGGGGTGAGTGTTCCCACTGATCTTGGCCCACTTGTAAGACAAGGGCGGGGTGCCCCCATTGGCAAAGCACTTCAGCACCACCTCGTTGCCACGTGTCATCTGGCCCTCAGCCCAGCACATGGGCACTGCAGGTCGAGCTGCAAGGAAGCAGGTACATGGGAGTCAGGGCCCAGCCATGAGGCAGTCAGGCTCAGGATGGCCAAACTAACCTCAGTTCTGAAGTCAGAGGGAAGGGAGCCCAGAGGAGTCTGACCATACCTTGGACAGTGACGATGACCTTCCGGGAGGCCATGGTGGTCTTCTTCACCCGGCACTCATAGGTAGCTGTGTCAGATACCTGCAGGTTCATGAGGGTGATGGAGGCATCATACTGACTGGGGTCCGAGGCTGCAAAGTGAACCCTTTGCTGCAGATGGGGGAGGTTGCCATGGTTGATCCTCTTGTCCTGATAACTAAGGAACTGGAAAGGAAAGAGGAAAAGGGGTGATGCAGGCAGAGCCAAAGAGAGCCCTGTGGGTCGCTGTTCTGGGCAAATCACTGAATTATTCACAGTCTCAGTTTTCTCAGATGGAAAATGGGAATGACAAGGCTTCATCCAGTGACCACCTACAGAACATGTGAAGGTCAGATGAGATCAATCACTTTGGAAAGCATAAGGTCAGACTGGGAACTTGTGGAGGACAAGGACCATTCCACCTTTTCTCCTTGGACTTGGGGGGGAAGAGTAGACAGGCTGGAAGAGCTCTGCTCTCTGTTGCCCCACACTGTGAGGCCTTGGAGCAAGTTCAAAGTCTAGGTTTTCTAATCTGTCTTTCCTCCTCTCTAGAATTTGGCTGCCCAATGGGAAAACACCTTGAAGTGTAGAGTAAGGGGAACCCAGTGCCCAGCACTTACCACATTTTCCCGATGTGAGGGGTCTGAGTTGACCTGCATCCACTCGATGTCCAGCCCATTGGGACCATAGTCCTCAGGGTCCAGGATATAGGGGCAGCCTAACCTGACGTTATCACCTTCTGCCAGGTACAGGACCTCCTGGCCATCCCCGTTGATACGCACAGCAGGCAACAGTGCTGAGGGGAGGGCAGGGCAGGTAGGGTGAGGGACTGAGAACCAGGACTCAGGCAGTCTCCACCATTCTCTGTCCACTGTAACCTGCGGCTCAGTGGGACTTCTTCCACAGAGAGGAGGAGTTGCTCTGAGTGTGTGTGTGTGTGTGTGCACGTATGCATTGCTATATGCATGACTGCACATTTATGTGTGCATGTTTATTGATGTGGTTTCTGTGCACACTTGTGCATGCATGCATGTTTTATGATTGTATAGGATTGCATTTGAACACCATTTGTATGTATATAGTTATTATTTGCATATATATGTATAATTAATTGTATGCATGCAGGAACATGTACATTGTGTGCTTATGAGTAGCTGTGGCTGCTTATGTGGACTATAATGATATGCATGTATGTTCCCATGTAAGGTGCCTATTTATGTGTTTACATGTAGTGTGTGTGCGTCTGTCTCTCTGATGGCATATGGAGCACAGAATTAGTAAATGCTCTGATGGAAGAGCCTGTCTAGGCCAAGTGAGATGTTCCTACCTGGAGGCAGGAGGCTGGACACAGTGACCTCTAAGGTCCCTTTCCAGCCTGAGGAACAAAAGTCTGGGTGCATCTGTGTGTAGCATGCATGTAGGACAGTGTGTGTGTGTGTATGCCCTGTGTGTGGCCATATGTGGCAGGGTGAGAGTGTGCCTATGACAGTGTCTGTGGTTTGAGGGATAGTACAAGCCTGTTCATGACAGCGGGCAGCTGTAACCAAGCCCCTGGCCATGTGTCTGTGTGTTTGAGTGATGAATTCTCCTTCACACTGTTCAGCATCCCCTGAGTCAGCAAGCTCCAAAGCACTGGCCATTGCCACACACCCTTCTGGGTGCCACCAGCTTCTATGGGTCTCCTTGGTGGACAGCAAGTGGAGAGACTCCCTCCCTACCCTAAAGCCACACACATGCACTAGCCCCAACCGGTTGGACCAACTGAGGGAGCTGAAGGGGGCGTGCCCATGGCCTCACCCTCAGCATGCTGGGATCTGTCTCCCTGTCTCCTGCAATCCTTGGACCTGGGCCCCTCTCCCCACCTGGCTCACTTCTGCTGCATTCTTTGTTGACAGTGAATCCCTGGGCATCTCAGTCCCCAGAGTCTCCAACTCATTCTGCTCTCCCCCTCCCTGTGTCTCTTCTGGTACCACATTCACACTTAGAAAGCATTTTATACATACACAATTATACACAGTCATTGCCAAACAAATCCATGCTTAGTTACAAGTCTTTACAATGCAGAGACATACCTATGCAGATTTGCCACCCTATACACACACTCACGGTCAGATTCATACAAACAGACACACATCTGCTCACAAACACAAATACATGTTGCTCCAAAGGCACACCTAATACACACCTCATATTCTCCCATGTGTATTCATTCAAGACCAGACAGGCAGAAGCCCTGCCTGGCAGGCTTGCCCAGCAGGGGCCCCTCCAGCACCCCAACACCAGAGATCACTGACCTTGCTCCTCAGTTCAGCCTGTCACGGCTGAACATCAGCCATGCTCTAACCCCACCAGGCTCCAGGGTGACCCAGAGCAGGCAGGCTCAGGCTGGAACTCTAACGGGACCTAGTGGTGCCTCCTCCAGCCGTAGGCCAAGGGAACACCGCTCATTCCTGAGATAAGGATCCTACTGCCAGCTGCCAGATCCTGCGGCAGCACAGAGCAAGCCAGGGATGAGCCAAAACCCAAGGGAGAGCAGCAACTCCGCCCTGGGGAAGGGCGGCTGGCAGCAACTCACAACAGAGCACACCTCTCTTTCCACACACCTGTGCGTGCCGGCCAGCCTGCCAGGCAGGAGGGGAAGGATTTAGAGAAAGGGTCTTGGGAGGAAGAGCTAGGGCTGGAAGAAAAGCGCCTCCACCCTGTATGTACCAGGCTGCATTCTTCTATTGTCCTAAGCCAGGGAGCCTCGCCCCAACTCTTCAGTCTCCTTAGAAGCTTTCTCAACCTCCTCCAGCCTTTCTCTACTCTTCAGTCTACTTGGGAAGTTCTTCGTGCGGTCTCACCTTGACTCCTTTTACTGTGACACTGATGAAGTACATCCAAGGAATGTAAGAGAAGAAAGGGGCTTCATGAAGAGAGTGAAAAAGGTCAGAGTGGAAGAGAGAGCTAAGTGGAAAGACTTGGGGAGAGGAGAGGAACTGGGTGGGTGGTCACAGTGGGGATTAATTGCCAGGAAAGAGAGCACCAGGGGTTGAACTGAGGAGGAGACCCTTCTATGAGCTGTTAGCTCAGTAGTATATTGTAAGTTCATAAATCCTTTCTCAAATTTTAAGCTCCTCCCAGAGTTCCTAACTTTGTCTCCGGGGGAGAAGGAAAAGAGGGAGGGAAGAGGTAGCTTCCACGCTGAGCCTCTCTCACACACCCCATGTGCTACACACACCACACACGGAGAGATCCTAGACTGCATATCCCAGACAGAGCTTCCTGAGGGGGCTCTATCCACACACACACACAAAAGCTGAAAATGCACCCTCTTTCTAAACACTATTCCCCCATGCCTCTGCACCTAAGTCCAGACCCCAAAGGGACTCAAGTCATTTCCAGTGAGGCCCACACAACACAGCCCTTGTCAGAACTTGCCCCAAGCTGGGCAGGTGAGCCCTGCCCTCAAGGTAAGGTGAGGGGGGAACTGGGCAGGTGAGCCCTGCCCTCAAGGTAAGGTGAGTTCCCCCAACCCTTTACCAGTTTCATCTTGGAGGGCCACCTCCCAGGTTCTCTCACCAGACCAGAGGCCCAGCTTGGATCTCAGGCCTGAGCGCTCACCGGCCATGATGGAACCAAACACTCAGACTGCCCCCAATGTTGATCCCTTGCCCTTTCAAAGCAAGTAACTCCCTGACCCCTTGGCTATGGTGTGGAGGGCCCACATTGGCAAGAGTACACAAACAATTTGATGACAATTGATTCTTCCCAAGTCCCTCCTCAGCCCCCATCCGGCTTTGCTGGTGGCGAGTCACCTGATTTTCTCTTACCCTACCTCCATCCTGCAGATAACTCCAGGCAAGCCCTGTCTTCTCATTCACAGGTATGTGCATGCAAGGCACCTGCACATATGGGAGCCCCCAGGGCTCACAGATGATTAATTCCACTCACAGGCCTCCCACCCACAGACACATGCCTCCGACCCCTGGGCAATGATCCAAACCAGAGCGGCAGCAAAGCGAGGGTGGGCAGTACCCTGCCAGTGCATTTCAGAGCACCTTCAAAGCCCCTTAGTGATCTTATCACTGTCCTCGTTCTGCCAGGCATCCCTTCCCGCTGCCCAGCCCCATACCTGGGCTCAGGCACATGAGCAGAAGGTGGAAGGCACCTCGAATTCCCATGTCTCTAGGCTTGATGTTTCCTCCACCTGGGCTGGCTATCCCTGGGCTCGGTGGTGGTAAGGATGAGGGGGTGGGCAAAGGGAGGGGGAGCTGAGGGCCAGACACTGCCCAGGGTGGCAGGAGGGTGCAATGAGTGCCAGGCTGAGGAGCAGCAGAGTCATTTTTATGGGAGGGAGGGGGCCTGGACCCCGCCTTGGGGAGGAGTCTCAGGAGCCCTAATTAGCGGGGTGACAGGGTGGCCTACCCAGGCATTACCCAGCCCTCACCCAAGCTCTTCCCTATCCTGAGTGGCTCAGGGTGGCCAGCGGGACTTGTAATTAGGCACCTGTTAAACCTCCACTTCCTTCTGGCCCCATGCTCGGGGTGACAACAGTCGCCCCATTTCACAGCGTCCATGGAGCTCTCCTCACCACTCATTTGTTGCCTCCTTCCCCTGGGGAAGTGGGGAAGAGGAAGAAAAAGGGAAGCTTGGGGAGGAAGGGCGCCCAGACTTTGAAGGGTTAACACTAGGCCCAGGGCACAGGCAGGGAGGAACAAGCTCTCCCCATTACAGGCTCCAGCCAAATCCCTGCCCCCTCCCAGTATCCATGGCCTTACTGGGAACACCCAAACAAATCACAGGACCCCCAGATTCAGGTCTGTGGGCAAGGACACCAGTAAAGGGGACATTCCCCCTATTGCTAGGACCTAGAACTGAACAAAGCATCAGACAGATGAAAAGGACTCAGGAATGCCCACCCTGCCCTCCCATTAAAGCCTCTGGTCTTTCAAAGCTTGTTAGGACTCCTGAGCTGAAAGGAGGGAGAGAGCGTGTGTGGAAACAGGTTCTTGCACTATCTGTACCCCCGGAACTGTGCCCCTACCCATTCCTGACTCCAGCTTGTCCCCAAGTTAAGGAATTATGGCGGATTTAGCCCCCACTCCTGACACAGGACTGAGCCCAGTTCAATTAGGCTTGAGAGGAGAGGACCAGGGTGTGTAGGGTGTCAAGTCAGTAGGTGGTTGGGCAAACGTGTGTGAGGGGCTGTTTTGAGAAAATAGGGGAAGCTAAGGAGAGGTGTGCTTCTGTGAATATGCACACAGCCTCACTGGAATACAGGTGTGTAAGACAAGTACAATATCTGTTGAAGGACACTAAGCCCCCTCTGCATGTACTGTTTTTAGAGACCACTGTGTGGCCTTGTCTCTATGCAAGGAAGCGAGGCCAAGGACCACTGATCAGTGGCCTGATTAAGCCAACCCAGTATTGGCAAGACTAGAGTAGAGGTCCATCTTCTGCTGAGTAGATGGACGCGGTAGAGAACTAGCCCTTGTTAACTGGCCCAAGGGGTGTCAGCCATACCTTCCCTGGGCTCAAGTATTTGCCAGGAGCAATGGCGGGGTCTGGACCTAAGTGGCCTTGTCCAACAACAAGTGTCCCTGATGTGGGACACAGGAAGGGCAGAGGGGGAAGAGTCTTGGGAGAGTTATGGGGCTCAGGAATGCTGCCACGGCTCACGCTTCTAGGAAAAATAAGAATAAGGAAGTACAAGGAGTCCACGCATCTCTGAGTTCCAAATCTACCCCTGTACCAACAATAACAGGGCACTCTAGGGCCCACCAGATGTATACAATGAATATCCTTATTTCCTGGTTTATTTTGAATTTTATGGGATTGCACTGTGCTCTCTAGAGAGCAGGGATCATTATCCCCATTTTACAGATGGGGAAACAGAGGCCTGGAGAAACATGGATATTCAGCCAAGATGCTGCTGCTGGACTCTGAATTGGAAGTACCCAGACATCCTGATTCTCAGTCCATAGTTGTCCAAGAAAACAACTTGGTGATCCTCTGAGTTGCTAGGCCCGTCCAGAAATAAAACCCCAAAACCAGAAGGTCAGTTATGGGTGAAGAGAAGTGTTGGGACCAGGAAGAGGGAGACTGAAAAAAAGAGACCGTGGATTGTGGTTCCATTTAACTGAAGTGTAAGGTTGGGGTTTAATTGGGTTCCAGATTTGAGCTAATGGTATAATTGGGATGAAGGTTAGAGCTGAGGTTAAGGTTGAATTTGCTGGAAATACTAATGAGGTTGAGGTTAGATTTGAGGTTGGGAGTTGATTAAGGCTGAAGTTAGAGTTACAGCTAGAATTAAGGCTAGGTTTTACGGTGGGGTTTGTGTTGTGATAAGGAATGGGGCTTCAGTTTCATTGACAGCTATGCTTGAGAATCCAGTTAGGACTGAATTAAAGACTGGGTAGAGAGTGATTTAGGATTGACATTACAACTGGGTTAGAATTTAGTTTGGGATTTGAGTTAGGATAGGTTGTGGGTAGGGTTAAAACAATATAGGGTTAAAGATATATAGGTTTTTTAGGAATCAAAATTGAACTTTTATTTATATAATGGAAAGATCTTAGGTTCTGCCTGCTAAACCTAGGTTTGGCTAAAATAACCTTTACCAAAGCACATGTTCATTGGGATACCAAGGTTTTGAGGAAGGCTCAAAATGTGCATGAGCCCATGGGTCTGAGAGGTATGAAGTAATTTAGTCCCCAGACAAATTTAACCTCTGAGATCCCACCCCACAACCTAAGATCTTCACCTGGTTTCTTGTTCAGTGCCATCAAGTTAATTCTAACTCACAGAGACCCTGTTTAGGGTTTCTCAGGAGTGACTGGTGGGTTTGAATCGCAGACCTTTTTTGTGCAAGGCATTTGAGGAGGGGAGTGCAGCAAGTTATAAGAAGATGGAGTCCATCACAGATAGTCTTACTAGACTGATGTTTAGACCTGGTTTGAGTCCAGGAGATGGCAATTGGGAGTGACTGAGGGCCTAGATGCTCCTGGAACAGCTACTTCTAAGGGCTCCACAATTGGGTCCCTCAAAACCGGAAAAGGCAGGCAGGGAATCATCCTTGTTCCCCCTTGACCCACTGAAAGGTAATTGCCACCTTCTTGCAATTTGGGACCTTGTAAAGAAGCTGCTAGCTTTTCTGCCCTGAGCCCTGCAGGCTTTGAGGGGATGGTGGAAGATGAGGGTTCTGGGGTTCCAGCTTTGCATGATTCCAGTTCACAGTCCCCTCCCTCTGAGAGGCCCATAGCCCATGTTTCTCTCAGAACTTTCTCCTCCTGCAAAGTCTCCTATTCTGACTCCTCCTCCCACCACCAAACTCCACCCCAAACCCTCCCATTTCCCTGCCCACTTCCTTTTCAGGTCCCATAAAAGACCAAACAGATCCAGGAAACTATGTGAGGAATTCCCTGAGCAAGCCATCGCCTTCAGTGGAGAAGGCCTGTCTTAGGCACTTGCTTCCATACAGGACAGAAATAGGGAATTGAAGAGAGGGCTAAAAGGAATGGTCAAGGACCAAGGACAAGAGAAGGAGGGAGGAGGCAAAGCAAGGACCCAGAAAAGCCGAGAGGCTGCTTCTAAGATGAGGTACAGTCCAATCCCAGGACATTTGGGGGAAGATCAAGCAGAAGTCTTGGCCCACCTACACTTTCTCCAAAGTAACTTTGCAGTGACTCCACACAACCCCTTTC